CTTGCGGGCACAAATTTCAACTTTTATGGAGAAAATTAATGCTCTTTCGACTTTCGAGTACTTCTCTTCTCTCTCCCCAACACAGGCTCATCAAATTATTAAAAATTTTGTTGAAAAGGAAGGAGTTGATTAAAAGATTTTTAAAGATGAAGTATACATACTGTATACATATAGATTTTTTATTCATTTTAGATATTATTATTGTTCATGCATTATTTCGGGTTAATTTCTCTATTCTCTTTTACAAATCTTAATTTTTTTCTTTTTCCCGACAAATCAAATTCAATATATCATAAAAAGTTTACAAAATCCAGAAACATTTTGAGACGACCGTTAACACAAATAATAAAATTAAAAACAATTTCGATGAAAGAGTGGAGAGTAACCAAGCTTTCCTTTCGGAAGTCTTATAGGCTAACAGATAAAATCTGTTACGTCCCCCTTTCATATACTTGTTGCTGGCTATCATCTTGCTGATGAAACTCCAAAATGCACATCGCATTACTTTGATTAGAAAAATTAGTTGAATTGTTGTTGAAGATGCTTATAGATTCTGTCTTTGTGGTTCGCTAAAACAAACCCTATCACGAATTGCCGATTGTCGACTATGAGTTTTTCTTTCATCGATTCTTCAAAAACATTCATCCCAAAAAATTCTTCTAAATTAGTGACTAATATCTTATACTCAAACGTTTTCCACTGCTTCACCGAGAATTTCCAATGCATATCCAAAAACCAGTCGATGCCATGGTGATGATGTCGTCGGAAGAAAAACCGACTAATGCCATGGTGATGGTGTTGCCGAAAGGAAAACCGGTAGAGGCCATGGTGGTGGTGTCGCCAGAAAGAAACTCTCGGAAAAAGAGACAATAATCGCTTCGGAGATTGGAACCAATCGAAAACAATAGAGGGAATGGTATATGTAGAATATGGATTGTAAATCGACGAAGAACTTTGAAGTGTAGAAGATTTGATCCCCTTTAACGACGAAGATCCGATCGAAATCGAAACAAAAAAGTCGATCTTAAACACCCTTATAACATATATAAGCGAAAAGTAATATACGGATATAATAGATAGCGGCACGGTGCCGGCGTGATGCCGATCACCGGCCATAACGACGGTGACTTGTTGAAGAAGGTAAGATTGGGGTGTGAATTGTCAAGAGACGATGGGAAAAGAAAACGGTTAAAAAAATATTTAGCGACTGATGATTTTCACTTTTTAAGACTTGAAATCTTAATTTTTGTTATACTACTTTTTTAGTAAAGAAAAATTATGATAACCTCTAAAATATGTGTATTATTTTTCGCGTTGAATTTCCATATTTGAAAATTTACAATATCTTATTGGAACGAGGATTCGAGTCATTTTACTGTAATTTTTTATTTTTATTTTTTTTGCTAAATTTTTTACTGTAATTTTAAACATGGTTGATTATTGTAAATGTCTTACGTGGTAAAGACACTTATATCACAAAATGATTAGTTTATGCAAAACCCATAATTATGCGTTTTAACAAACAAAATATCGTTTTTCTCTATATATGTTGACATTTCAGTTAAATTCATGAAATATTTATTTCCGTGTCATGAACGACAGTTTCATGAGAATGAGTTTGATTTTTTTTTTTAAAAGAGAGAATTTAAAAAAAAAAAAAATTTAAAAAACTTCTCTCTCTCCCTCTTACGATGGAAAAGGCGATTCAATAGAGAAGAAGAAGAGAATCATCAATAGAAGAGAGATTCAATAACTAGAATCATTTCTAGTGAATATTTACAAATCGATCATGTCTCTGCTTCAATTTCACAGTGATTCAAAAGAGGAGATGCAGAAACTACGATTCAGATCTACGAAGAATGGAATCAGTTTTCTTGTTCTTCTTCTATGGATTGTAATCATCTTGCTTTTCTCCTACTTGGGATTGGATTCGCGCAAAATTCAATACATAAAAATAATGTTCTTCTCAACACAGATTTTCAGAAGAATGACAATGATTAGTTTCGTTTTCATTCTCTGCTTACCTTTCTTTCTTGAGTCGGTTAACCGGTTTCACCGGACCGTGTTTTCTCTCATCGCAAAGTGATTATTCTCCGGTGGCGTTTTCGTCTCCGATGTAATAGTTCACAATCGTCAACTGATATGATTTATATCCAACGGTTGTGGTGGAACTCCCTCGCAACTTTCCAGATTTTGACAAAAGAATTTGGAATTGTCTTCCCACTTTTTCTGTTACTGATGGAGGATAATCATAGATGGATACAAGAGATGCATAGTGGTGTGACTGTTTCGACGATCAATCTCTATGAATTGGTGCAAGAGAAGAAATAACGAAGCGGTGCAAGAGAAGTTGTTGTTAATGTTGGACTAGTTGTTGTCAATGTTGGACAATTGTGGAGTCTCATCCATTGGATGATAGCCATGAACAACAGTTTCATGAGAATGAGATTGATTTTAAAGAAAGAAAATAATAGATTTGATTATCTATTAGCGGGTAAGTCTTTCGTTTTGAAAGCATCGTGGATCTTCCCTTCTTTATCGTTCATTGTAAGATTTAAATATGTTGTGTTTGTGTGTGGTTGTTCTTTTATATCGTTATTGTAATCTGTTGTACCAATTCTTGTATATGATTTATCAATGAATGAAGAAGATGTTTTTTTGTGTTAAAAAAAAAAATAGAAATATTTATTTCCGTGAG